TAACAGCTAAATACTTTTGAGGTTCAGGATATTTTATATGTACAGTTGTGTTCAAAATAATAGCAGTGTGTTTAAAAAAGTTGAGGCATGGGTCTTTCTGTCATACATGCTTTGCATAAAAAGTCCAGTGAGCCTCTGCAACGTTGCACTTCACATGATTTCTTGATATGCCTTAATAAACTTGGATTTTCCTACGATTTATAGTATGCTCTCTACATATGACACTTATGCTCTTGTGCAGTGCCAGTCATTGGCCTCAGCAACTCCAGTATAGTATACAATAGGAATATATGGGTTGAAATCCACAAGAAATGAAAGGGTGATTTAGTGGACTCAAAGCCTTTGGTGGAAAAACTGCTCCATTCAGTACTCTATAATGACCAGCAGGTCTGCCACCTCTGTGTGGGTGCTGTTGCGATTTGTCTAAACCTCCTGTGCTGGAAACTCAAAAGCAAGCATGAGGAAATCCCTGCAAAGTGAGGGGAATTCCCTTCTTACAGTTGACACAAGGATGTGTAACATCATTTTGAATTTCCATTACTTTCTGATTAGGCAACAATAGTCACCAGGGGCAAAAGAAAAAAAAAAAGATGGCAAAGGTAATAGTAATAATCGCACACAGCAAGACCACAGAAAAAAAAATTACAAGGGATCTAACCCTTCCCTACTCTATCCAAAACAAACATTTTGGTTTTATACACTACAGTACATGGAATCTAGAGATCCGCTGCAAGGAAACTATCAAGATACACACACAAACTCACCAGTGGCTGGTAAGTGTGTGTGTGTGTGTATGTATATATTATTTATCTCCCCCCACCCCTGCTGCATTTGTGTATAAATGGACATTCCCTGTGCACATTGAAAAGCTGAATTTACAGACTATCATACCATTGGTTTGTAAATGTAGCATACAATTGATATTGTTGAATAACAAAAGGGAACAGTTTTCTCCTTACAAAACACTCAGCTATCAGCAAACCCAACCCAGAAGGCATTGTAAAGATTGCAAAATGTAAAACATACTATGTGGTAATGCAATCAGAGAACCAGAAATGTTAAACAATTAGGTAAAAAGGTCTTTACTAACTGTGTTACAATAAAAAAAAACACAGCTGTAACAGAAACAAGGAACATAAAAAAGATAATGTTCTGGATATGATCCATACAAGCTGACCATGCAGGCTAGGTTCATGTTTATGCGTTTCCTTGCGGCTACATTTGTGTGGACAGAGCAGCACATTCATTTGCGCACACTGCTGTACCTGCGTGAAATGCAGGTAAAAAATTCCTGACTCTTTTTTAAAAACACAGCCACAGGGAAACCTAATGGTACTTTGGTACATTTTCCATGTGTGGGGGTGCTATTAAGAATTAATGGTAGCAGCATCTTATTGCTGTGGTTGTGTGTGGGGAAGGAATGGGTGCAATTTACATGTCTTTCTGCACTTGCAATAGTGTGAACCCAGCCTCATTCAGTATTTAATACAATACTTGGTTATGCTTTAAACATCTGCATCTGGGCCAATAACAACTTCAAAAATAATAATCATTACTCTGTGATTTTTAGCCATTTGTTACTACTATATTCAATTTTATGCCCAAATGACAGCCATCTTTAAGAACTGTGGCCGACTTCTGAGACTAAAATGCTGGATTTTTCATTATTCAGACTTTTTCCATCTATGAACATCTGCATAATAGTCCTACATCTTCTATGAAAGCATTAATCCACCTTAGATTATACATGTATATGACTACCTTTACTAACACAATATACCATGAGGTAAAAACTGTGTGGAACAGAAATGGAATAAAAATTGCCATAGACATGAGGTGGACTTCACCATATACAGAAAATTGCAAATCGGACTTGTTCAAGAGCCTACATATTTCTAACTGACCTAAGACTGCAACAAATTATTTAAAAGATAAAGGTTTGTTGGAGGCTGCAGGAGTGATTCCCCCATCCACACACTCAATATGGTTGAACAGAAAAACGATTAAGGCATGGCCAACCTTAACAATAAAACAGGCCTGAACCATTTTTCAACACTTTTAGTGTTTTAAAAGATAAAGGTTTGTTGGAGGCTGCAGAAGTGATTCCCCCATCCACACACACTCAATGTGGTTGAACAGAAAAACGATTAAGGCATGGCCTACCTTAACAATAAAACAGGCCTGAACTATTTTTGAACACTTTGTGTTTTAAAAGATAAAAGGTTTGTTGGAGGCTGCAGGAGTGATTCCCCCATCCACACACTCAATGTGGTTGAACAGAAAAACGATTAAGGCATGGCCAACCATAACAATAAATCAGGCCTGAACCATTTTTGAAAAATATTTTGTGTTTTAAAAGATAAAGGTTTGTTGGAGGCTGCAGGAGTGATTCCCCCAACCACACACTCAATGTGGTTGAACAGAAAAATGATTAATGCATGGCCAACCTTAACAATAAAACAGGCCTGAACTATTTTTCAACACTTTTAGTGTTTTAAAAGATAAAGGTTTGTTGGAGGCTGCAGGAGTGATTCCCCCATCCACACACTCAAGGTTGGCCATGCATGAATTGTTTTTCTGTTCAACCACATTGAGTGTGTGGATGGGGGAATCACTCCTGCAGCCTCCAACAAACCTTTATCTTTTAAAACACTAAAAGTGTTAAAAAATGGTTCAGGCCTGTTTTATTGTTAAGGTTGGCCATGCATTAATCATTTTTCTGTTCAACCACATTAACAATAAAACAGGCCTGAACCATTTTTGAACACTTTTTAGTGTTTTAAAAGATAAACTAAAATTTAAGAGGAAATCATACAAAGGCAAACAATAGACATATATAGAGTTACAGGAGGAAAAGAAATTGCTAGCACAGTGAGGAAAATCTTTTTTCCTTTCACAATCTTCTGATCTGTTCCAATTAAAAGCTCAATCTTTTAGGTCTATGACCACCTTTGGAGTTTCAGAGTCCTCCTTGAATTCCAAAACGGCACACACACACATAAACCAGATCCATGGCTACTTACCATTTGCCCCATGCCGTACAGCTGTTGTGCAGTACAAGATACACCAGTGACACACATACTGTAGCTCACTAACACAAACAAGCTGTAAATCTATGTCTCTCGCAGGTACAGACAGAAAAGCACTGGAGTGAACTTTACCAGGATATTCTTCTTGTGGCGTTTCTCCTTAATGTGCTTGTGGGCCCCCTGTACGTTCTCGATGTGTACTGAGCACAGCTTGCATAGATACTGGCAGTTGGAGAAGTCTGGAGATCTCTGAAAAGAAGTGTGAGAGGGTGGGGGCTGGTAAACATCCTGCACAATTACAATTACAATCACAAAAGACACATTTCAAGTTCATTGTCTTACAGACTGTCAATCACTGGTCTGCACCTCCCACCTGCTTTTCATGTGTCTCACCAGTCTGATGGTTGAAAGATCACATGACCAGAGAATATCAAAACATTACAACTCAGGTAATAAGCAGAAGATGCTAGTAATAAAATCTGTGTTAAGACAAACCCACTCATAGCTGGATTCATTTTCTTTTTTTAGGAGTTTCTTTTCTTGATTTTAAACTGAATTATTTTGTTGATTTTAAACTGGATTAATTTTCTTTTATTTAGGAGTTTCATTTCTTGATTTTAAACTGGATTAATTTTGTTGATTTTATGATGGATTAATTTCCTTTATTTAGGAGTTTCATTTCTTTATTTTAAGCAGATGATTCTGGTAGTAACACAATGCTTAACCCAAGGTGAAAATGCTTACTCGCTGCACTGTATGTATGGAGGAGCAGTGTTGTCACCCTAGAACAGAAATTGTTCTCTATGGTGCCTGTTTGCACGAACAGGTGTGAACAGGCATCATAGAGAACACTTGCTTTTTTTAAAATTTGAGTGTTTTTGAAATATATATTGTGCCTCTTTGTAAAAAAAAAAAAAAAAAAAAAAAAAAAAGGGACAGCGGAGGCCTAGTACTTCAAGCTACAAATCGCTCAAGAGTGAATGCAGCCTTAGCCTCAAAGTGTATCTAAACTCAAGAAAAAAATGTAGCGTTACAGTGTGTTAGGACCCTCTCCCATTCTCTATAACATAGGGGGTGTTTTGTAGTTTACAGAAGTGAACAGAGCAAGGCTGGCAAGTGGCTGAGAGCATAAGTTACAAGCTCACTGCATAACAGGACAAGGTCAACAGATATTCTTCTGTACTTGCAGCATATTTAAAGCGGCAAAACCTATGCATGTATGGGAAAGACGTATTGAATATATTTTCTTGCCCACAAATACATTTTAATGCTAAAGTCCAGGCAAGCAATTGAACAGTTGAGAAAATATTAATGCTCCAACTTACAGTCTGCATACTGCTTTATTTATCTGGAGGCTGAAAAAAATTATATCCAAAAAACACATACAAATATATGTGCTGTATATGTAGGATTTTTAATTCTTTTCTTCTAGTTGTTGGTGAATGCTCATTTTCAAATGCAGCAGAGCATGGTATAGAACACTCCTGATTGGACAATGAATGAGCAAAAACACATGTTTAAAGCAGAATGCCGGTCAAAACTTTTATTTTCCCATGCAGTGGGGCTGTGTCCGCACAGCATGGGTTAAGTGCTCATTTTGTCCAAGGGCTCAGGGAAAAGCTGGACTTACCCATTCCTCCAGAAAACTGCGCTCCCCCATATCCAGCAATGGACTGTTTCTGTCGTCCACATGTCTGGAGCTGGTCTATGGGCATGATGACGTCAGGAACAGCCCATTAGCAAGACTGCTAGCAGGAGCGGTGGGGACTGGTCTTGCGCTCAGAGGATCGGGTAAGTATATCTTTGCTTTCTGAGCCCCTAGACAAAAACAAGCATTTATTCCATGCAGTGTGGGCACAGCCCCACTGCATGGGAAAATAATAATCTTGCCTGGAATTCTTCTTTAACCACCTCCCGCCCTCCATATAGTAATATGACGGACGCAAGGTGATTCTCTCGTTCTGGGAGGACGTCACATGACGTCCTCCCATTCTCAGTGCGCAGCGTTGCAATCGGCTGTGCGCTGTGTCCCTCGGACACAACGGATCACCGATCCACGGAAAGAGCCGAAGATGTCGGCTCGGTCATGTGATCAGCTGTGTCCAATCACAGCTGATCACATGTAAACAGGGAAATGCTGGTTATCGGCTTTCCGCGGAGGGGACATGTACATTGATCATCAGGGCACTGATGATCAGTGTGCCCTGATGATCAGTGTAGCCCCAGCAGTGCCACCTGTCAGTGTCCATCAGTGCCACATCAATGCCTACCAGTGCACATCAATGCCACATATCAGTGCCCATCTGAGCTGCCTTTCAGTGTAACCCGATCAGTGCCACCTATCAGTGCTGCCAATCAGTGCCACCTATCAGTGCCAGTCAGTGCCGCCTATCAGTGCCACTTAGTGCCGCCTACCAGTGCCAGTCAGTGCCGCCTATCAGTGCCAGTCAGTGCCGCCTACCAGTGCCAATCAGTGTCGCCTAACAGAGCCATATATCAGTGCTGACTTTCAGTGCCCATCAGTGGTGCCTATCAATGCCCATCAGTGCCACCTACCAGTGCCTCCTCATCAGTGCCCATCGGTGCCACCTATCAGTGTCCATCAGTGCCCATCACTGCAGCCTCATTAGCACACATCAGTGAAGGAGAAAAATCACTTATTTACAAAATTTTATAACAAAAACTAAGATAAAACTTTTTTTTTTCAAAATTTTCAGTGGTTTTTGGTTTGTTTAAGAAAAAATAAAAAACCCAGAGGTGAGTAATTACCACCAAAATAAAGCTCTATCTGTCACAAAAAAATGATAAAAATTTCATATGCAGTGCTGCATGATCGCGCAATTGTCATACAAAGTGCGACAGAACTGAAAGCTGGAAATTGACCCGGGCAGGAAGGGGGTATAAGTGCCCTGTAGGCTTGTGGTTAAACTTTCTCTTTCCTCCTATCAGCAGGATTTCTTTAGGAATGATTACCTGAATTTAATGGTGTTTTTCATATCTGTTTAGAACTCAGCTTTAAACAGCGCAAAAGGGGGAAAAAACAGTCAGTGTTGATGGGGGAATTGAGTGATTTTCCAACAGTGTATGGCTTGCCCTAATGTTACCATATACATTTAACAAGTGATGGGTTAAGTTATTCACTAGTTTTTTAGTCCGCAAACGTGAGACTGTAACGAAAAACCCGTAAGTGTCCGCAAAAAAAGTGCAAGTGCAGAAACACACACACGAAAAACGTGCACTTAGGGGTGTGTTTGTCCTACCCCCGAAAGGGCTGGGACCGTTCACCCGATCCCCCGGGGCACGAAGCTCCTGACAGGGACAAGGTTCCCATTTGGTCCTCCTGGCCAAAAGGCCTGGTGGACCACCGTTCCTTATGCCCAGCCGAAGCCGGACATCCAGTACTAGGCAAGGGGGTTCTCCCGAAGAGAAAACCCCCTAGGGATCAGGGGAGGAAGGAACCGTATGGCCACACATCCTCCCCCTAGACTTCAGGTAAGGCCCGAGGACCCCACACCCTCCATCCGTGGAAAAACACACACATAAGAAAGCAAAAAGTGACAAAACGTGGGAGTGAAAATAAATAAATAGAATAAAAATAAAAAGTGGTACCGTGCCTAATAGTGCACAGACCAGGCCCTGAGGCCCGTAGCAAAAATTGCCCTGGACTTAGCCAAAAGACCTGGTCCTTAGGGCGCTGTGCAAAAAAGAGTGTAAAAACAGTGGCCATGTGTCATCTTCACACCGTGGGGTCCCACACCCAAGTGTTACTAGTGACACCCCTGAGCGCGTCTCCTCAGGGGGCACTGAGTTTGCGGACTTTTTGCCTCCTCAGCCCCAGGCCAGACCAAGGTAGCATGCTCAAACCAGGAGGAACTGGGTCTTTCCGGTCTCCCCAGAGGAATTACTCCCAAGGCCCCAGAACGAATCATGGCGCTCCCTGGTTTCTGTCCCTCCGGTACTAGCCTTCCGGACCCCCATCATACCAGTGAGGGTACTGTACAACAACCATCCCCGTAAACTAGAATGGTCGGTAGCACCCCCACTGGACACTGATAAGAACAGATACTACACTTGATCTTAGCCAAAAGGGTTAAGTTATTCACTAGTGCTAGGTTTTCAATGAACCCTACACTTGCTTAGTCAGAAGGAGCAGTGACGCACAACCATTATGTAGTACTGAAAATATGGGAGTAATGCACTCAGCAAACATGGCTGACTACATATGTATATGCAAACATTGGCAAAAACTGAAGAGTGTTTGCATCATGCTGATCAATTTAACATGCATGTCTGAAAAGCAGTAAAAAGACTATACATTCCCTTTAAACAATTGTAGGCTGTGGGTGTAGGCTTGGGAGTATTCATGAATAGCAGCTTCCATCCACATACCATGTCATATTATAATGAGTAGGTGGAATTCCTTACACACATTGTCTCAGCACTAAAATACTGAATACCTTTTTATTGTCTTTATTTTGTACTGAATGTTATGTAAACTTACTCCAATTAAAAATAGGAGTGGGATAACTAGGTACAATTTAAATTAGAACAATGAGTTTGTGTGAAGAGCTAAAAAAAGAACTACAGAAAAGCTATTCATGCCCAAACTGTCCCCTTAAAGTGGTTGTAAAGGCTGAAGGATTTTTTTTTTACCTTCATGCATTCTATGCATCCAATCTGGTTTGTCCTCTATTCCTCACTCATCCAGCACTTGAAATATTATACAGGCAACCAGAACAAACTAAATAGGTTTGTAACTGCCATGCAGCAATTAATGGTACCACCTATTCCAGATACCACAAAGCCAAAGACAGCTGATAAATGCTAATTCTAGGTATGTCCGAATGCTGCTTCTGTGAACAAGACCTGGGAATGCTGTATCAACAAATTGATTCTCTTGTAGATTTTCTCAATCAAAAAGTGTTATTATCTAAAAGCAATATTTTTTATAATGATCTATGTTTCAAAAATGCTTTACACCTTCTCTCAGAACAAAAACACAAACTCTTTGGAGTAAAATCAACAACTTTTATTGCATTTTTAGTTAAAATTAAATGGGATAAAGCATTCCCCTAAAAAATACTAAGACCAAACATGACTAGAAAGTCGAACCATCATGTGTGTAATTAACACCACAACCCCCCAGGGCGCATTCCCTCTTTTGATTTAATACCATTATATAATAATGTAAGGTATACAGTATATCACATAGTGTATCGATCTCTAAGAGGGGGTGCCAGGTCCGGATGTGTTTCGCACTGTAGCTTCTTCAGGGGTTCAAGGGGTGCGGTTGTGAATAAAGAGTCAAATAGAAAAAAAAAAAAAGCATAAAGTTCAATGGTACATTCTCACAGGTACGTCAGTAGGCATAAAGGGCAGAAGATGGTATCCCAATGGAATTGATGTTCAAGGACCAGCCCGTATACATGGGAAGGGATAGGAGAAAATAGCGCTCCGTAATAGTTAGAAAAAGTCCATATCTGCCTGTAATACTATGGGGCGGTCTAAAGACCTAATCATTTTTGAGTTTAGATACACCATAAACCTAAGGCTTAAGTTGCAAATACATGACTTGAATTTTAGATGATTCCTGCTGTTTTGGCCAGAACTTTGAAATGTGGATGGTCCAATGGCCAAACAGTAACTGCATTCTCCCGGAAGCAATCACTGTTAGGGTATACAAAGAGCTGCAGGTGTTGCAGCTGCTTGAATACAGTATCTGGAAATGGAGACTTCTATTTACGATATTTACATTTATGGTGGAATCTATTACATTTCTCTATTTCAGCCCTCGGACTGAACGAGACATCCATGCATGTACGGCTAAGCTTATACTGAAAGAGGGCTAAAAACAAAAAACATTCTGGCTGGCTACTAAGGACCACAAATACGTTTCCTCCATCTAATTTAGAAAAAAAAGTCAGCAAAAATATGTTTGCAACTCATCATTTAGGTCACATATAGCTGTGGCTATTCTCACTGAGCAGTAAAAACGACACAGCCAATGTCCAAGGCACAAAATACCTTCTCCAGGTGATGAATGTAGTCCCTTTCCAACCTCTCTTCTGCTTGTTTCAGGCCCAATTCTTGGTCCGCTAACATGTAAGCATGTCTTTCTTCCTGTTTTCCAGTTCTACACAGTAGTAAACCATTACTGCTTCTTCTCACAAAGCAAGTCTGTGAGTAGACCAACTCACTGAAAACCATGCTCTTTGTATGTAGCTGACCACATATCTCAACAGTACCTAAAAGGATAAATTCACCTTTTGGAGCATGTCACATGTTCCACCCATATTTAGGTTGAAACATGTAACATGTTCCAGCACCTGCAGCCTCTTCCCCTATCCCTCCGGTGACAGCTGAGATTGAAAATATCGCAGCTGCACGGGAATGCAAGAACTACAACTACCATAATCCATTGTGGCTGATAGCTTGTAGTTGTGAATGGACTGAGAAGTTGCTGATGAGCGGCCTCACAGTTTGCAGCTTGTAAACAGCCAGCCCATACGAAGGTACAGGCTGAAAGATGCAGGGCTTCTCTGGCGGAGTGTAGCATTGCACCCCTGATCAGTGCAATGCTTTCCATGGAAAAATAATAAATTTACAAGTCATACTTAAAGAAAACTTCACTTAAAATGTGAAGTCCTGCTGGATCTGTCCCTCCCAGCAGCCTTTAACTGAGATACAATTTTTTTTTTTGGGGGGGGGGGGGGGGGTTTGGGTTTAGAGCGAGTACTATTTTTACCATTACCTGCTTCCACTTCTACAATCCTTGTCCATGTGAGGATGACATCCTTTGCCCTGCTCATTCCCCTCCCGCAGCTTACTGGGACACACCACATGTCCTTGGAGGCTGCAGGACCATTCACAAAGTACTGCACAAGCTCGCGCATGCGCAGTGGGGAGGGGGGGGGGGGGGGGGCGGTTGTAGTTCCTCAAGAAGAAAATAAAATAAAATGGACTAGCTAGCTGGTAAAGAGGAGGTTTCCCACACTGTCATTTTGCATAGTAGTTTTCTTTTACATAGAGTCCACCATTAGAGATTTATTTTACATAGAATCCACCATCATGTTTCCTTTTCATCACACATGGTAAATAAAAGACTGAACTTCTAAATGCAGATCCGCGCACTCAATTCACCTAGGAGCACACTTGTATTAAAAGGATGCGTGGAGTAAGCGGTTTTCCCCCACTCCTCCAGTTTAACCACTTCCCAGCCACCCTATAGCAGTTTTACTGCTACAGGGCGGTCGCTCTGCGCAAAATCATGTATATATACGTGATTTTGCATTTCCAGGTAGGGGGCACATGAGTGTGCGTCCTTCTACCCGCGCTGTCATTGGCTTACATAGTATAAAAAAAAAAATGAATAAAAATTCCAGTATATATATATTGCCATTTGTAGATGCTATAATTTTCAGGCAAACCAATTACTTTACACTTATTGGGATTTTTTTCACCAAAGGCGTGTAGCAGGATACATTTTGGCCAAAATTTATAAAGCAATGTTATATATATATATTAAAAAATGTTTTTATTGGATATGGTTTATAGCAAAAAGTAAAAAATGATCGT